AAAAAAAAAGCTAACAGATACACCCGGAATTGCGTGAGATAATGCGATCTAACCAAATTTTTTTTTTTTTGCTCCATTATTTATGATCGCCACTGTATACTTACCAGGAATATTATATTTTTCAGTACAGTTTTAAAGAATTTACTTTTTTTTAAAATTTCAATACTATCGGTTAGGACCTAACTTTACATAACTCTGATTAATTTTAAAATCTGATATCGCTTATCCATATCATTTTTCTATATTGAACTTTTGAAAACTTATTAAAAGAATGAACAAAAGGATTTAGTTTAAAAATTTGAAATCAATTAGAATGAATTCATTAAATGTTTGGTTTTATCCAGGTTCAATTTAGAGAGAATTTATTTTAATATATATTTTTAAAATTGTAAGATTTATTAATCTGAAAAGAATATTAGGATATGCCTTTTGAATGGCATATATTTATCATACTATTGGGATGTAAGCATTAAAAATTATAATCTTTTTGTTTAAATCAAAATTTAATTAAAACGAATTTTACTCATTGTATGTTACGTTATTTAAACGTGGATTATTTAGAGTCATGAATCTTAAAATTGTTATATCTGCTATGTTATATAAAATCATACGTGAGTATTAGTCTGAACATATCATTGCAATTAGTAAAGATAGTTTTGCCGCATGTTCTAACACTTAATTCTCCTATAGAAAAATATTCGTATAATTGGAATAATTAATATGTAAGTAAACAATCTATTATTAGCGAAACTTCATTGTTTTAAATCGTAGAGTATTTTGACTAGAAGCGCCTTAAGTAATAAAATGAAAATTTTAAAATTACTAGATTGATATAAAAGCTTGTGAATTGACTATGCATTATTGGGGTGTGCGATAGTTCAGTAGTTAAGGTGAATTTTTCTATAACCTTAAAATAATTTGAATTGCTATTGGAACATTAGATCACATGTCTACCTATCATATTATATATCAAACGATTTAATTTTTTTTTTCATTTTTTTTAGTTCGAATTATACAATGCGTGTGATGAGAGTCGCCGTTTAACTGAGTTAAACAGCGTTCTAAATGATATAGGAAATACATTAGTGAGCAGAAACAATAGGTTATATTCAATCATTTGATGTTTTAATTCCTTAACAAGTTAATTTACATCGTATTAATTCTGTAATTATCATAACATTCATTTCAAACTTTAAACTGCTAAGGCTTCTGAAAAACTTATAAAAAGACTTAGATATATTTATTGTAAACTATATGTAAAGTACTACGTAATACAGAGAGAATATTTTATTTTACATAATTTTTTTAGAGTAGTAATAGAATAATTTTATTTTATATAACTTTTTTAAAATAGTAATAGAATAAATATATCATTAAATAAGAAAAATGTTTACACAGTTTTTAAATTAGTTTTTGGCATTATCGGCCTTTTGTATACTACATATCTCTTTGAAGCATTATACTACAGATCATTTTCTACCATTTTTATATTTATATTATCGAGGAGTAGTATTTTACTATGAAAATCAGTAGGCTAAAAAAAATTGATTAATCATATGATATCGCACACCCCATGTATTATGTTATTACGTATTGTCAACCAAAGTAAGAGTCTTTTTGAACGCAAACATTACCACTTCTACACTTTTCACACAGCTCCCTGTCGTGAAGAGGTGCATCCTTTGATCCTACTATACGTTTCCAACTTACAATTGATGCGCTTTTCCAGCATAGATGGCATTTAATCATAGCATAATCATTTCTCCGGAGGCCATTTTGAGCATTTTGAAAGTTATACTTCTTGGTAGCCGTCTGAGTTTTTCGAAAATTAACCCTCTGGATATTTGTCGAAAAGTTTTGTGCTTGATAGCCTGTCAGAGAGTTATCTACAAACTTTTGAAGTGATACCCAAGTATAGGAGCTGTCCCAAACGTGATCTTCATTTTCATTGCAGCTCCACCTACCAAATACTCTGTAAAACACATCCCCTTTAGCTTTGGCCCATACTAAATGACAAACGATTTCACTCTGCAGGATAATTTTAGTAATAATGTTTAGAATTTATAATGTTTAAATAAAAGTTATTCCAAAGATTGATTTACCTTTAGGGTTTTTTGCGGCCTTGTATAAAGCAAAAAACTCGAAATTAGACTTTTTTTCCCGCATTCATTACACTGCTGAGTGAAAAGACTATATAATTGGTTAGGCTGATGAACTTTCTTTAAACATGCTTTAAGTTCATCTTGATTGTAACTTAACGTTAATTTGTTTTGACACTGCCATTTGTTTCTATACTCGGGATCACTTAAACACTGCCAATTACTTTGGCATTCTACATCATGCTTACAGTTCCATTCATTTTCACCATCCCATTTTTCTTGACACTGACTTATACATGGTGGCGTATGTTGGCAATGCCACAATCTAGTTCTACATTTCCATTGATCTTTACATTTATTAATGCTTATGTATCTAGATTCATGTGGGCATTCCCATTTTCTTGAGCATTCCATTAAATTTTCGCACTGGTGTCGACATTTCCATTCATCTTTATACTGGTGCTCAAGCTGTTGAGATATTGCTTGCGATTTTTCTTTACATTTTTTTTCAGTTTTGCATTTGTGCTGACATTTAGCTTGGCATCTCCATTTCAAATTAGGATTCGACATGTCACATTCCTCCTTGTGTTGACATTGCCATTTGTTTTGACATTTCCATTTGTTATAACATTCGGGATTGTGTGGGCATTTCCATCTTTCATGAGGTGGTCTTTTTTGACATTCTAATTTTGTTTGACATTTCTTAATATGATAGCATTGCCATTCGCCTTGACAATATGGTTCGTATTCTTCAGCCCATCTGTACTTACATTCCCATAAGTCTCGACATCGTATCTGATGTAAGCACCTCCAATTTTTTCTGCAATGCCATTTACTTTGACATACAGGATTGTGTCGACAAATCCATCTTTTTTGACATTGTGCTCTGTTATTACATTCAGGTTCATGTTTGCATGTCCATTTGGATAGACATTGCATTTCAGATTGACATTGTGGTTCATGTGGACAGTTGTTCTTACATTCTTCTACGTTTGAACATTGTAATCGATGTTTGCATTTCCAATGCTGACAAAACCAACACCCTTCAACGATATAATTTGGATTATCAGTTATATAGCGAACAACTTCAATAACCTAAAGTATATGTTAAATAAATTTTTCATATAATCTCTATGATTACCTTTTCTAAAGATATAGTTTAATTAACTCACTTGTTTTAATTTATCATCCATCTTACTAAGCAACCAAAAATATTACTACCATTGGGTAAGGAATTTAATTTATTGACTCCTTGCGGAGATGATAATTGAAAAGACACTTTATTCTTGAATAAATAAATTACCTGAAGGAAAAGAAATAACTACACTCTATTTATTATGCTCTTCACAAAAATTAGTTGCACGGAATATATTTGCATAATGACTATTATTATCTGTAATGCGCAGCAACATTGAATTTAGTTATATTATTCTTTTGTTTATTACTTACTTATGGTCGCATGACAGCACAAAAATTATTTTTGAATCGCATAAATGTTGTAAGTGGAAATGGGATTCGGAATTTTAGGGTTAGAGTATAGTCTTATATAGAATAAATTCTACACCAAAATTATAATTTTATATAGAATAAATTCTACCCCAAAATTATAATTTTATTAAGAAATTCCAAATTCAATTGAATTCCGTTTCCACTTACAAATAAACTTACAAATAAATGTGGTACGTAACTACAATTGGGAAATATAACCCCAACAACACTTTGAGTATTTTTGTAAATCATGTTAAATTTATAACATCCATGCTTTTTAAGATCATTTGTACGTAACATATGACGATGTATTTAGCAAAACATAAATAGATAAAATTTATTGCATTTGAATAGTTTGACGCCAATATTATTTAATACAACTAGAACATGATCATATTATTTAATACAACTAGAACATGATCATATTATTTAATACAACTAGAACATGATCATATTATTTAGTACAACTAGAACATGATCATATTATTTA